GTCTATTGGAGGGCGTTCGACCCAAGTTAACTTGGTCTAAACCTCTCTACCCCTTTACTTTCTGTCATTTTTTTAACTTTCAAAATTGCTTATCAAGGCAATGGATAAAATTAGGAGGAATTTTCTATGGGGTGGGAAAAATTCAATCTCTTCTTGTAAAGCTCTTGTTAGGTGGAGTTTAGTCTGCAAACCTAAGAAAGAGGGAGGATTAAGAATTATCAACCTTTCTGATTTTAATTTATCTCCTCTCTAAATGGACGTGGAAAGTTCTGATTTTAATTTATCAACCTTTCTGATTTTGCATTATCCTCAATGCAAATTCTATGATCTACAAAGTAAAGCAGATAAGAAGTAAAGTTCTTACAATTTGTCAACTGATGAAAATCTGTAATTACCTTTGGTCTTGTGGAGGATGAAATCATCAATATATATATATATCTTTATTTTTTCTGTCAAAAAAATATTAAAAAAAAGTTTTAAACACTTGTTCTTACTGTAGGAACCAAAGAGGACAAAAAAATATTAAATAAAAAGTTTTAAACCTGTATACCCTTACGTCAACATGTTTTTCTCATCAGAGGATAAGTAAATCTCTGATTGACACACACACACACAAATGGGGGGAAAGGAAAAAGAAGAAGGGAAGAAGAAGAAGAAGAAGAAGAAAAGATAACCAATAAATCAGATATAGACACCAACAAACCTGTGTATATCAAAAATCAAAATCAAAATCACAGCTAAAATTACCGATAGCTAGAGTATAGATAAAATTTGAAATGGAGAGAATCAATTGCCTTGACTGACCTCTGTCATAGCTGTCATATAGAATACTGTTATACTGTAAGTAAACCTATAGCTAACAGTTTCCCCATTAGCTTACATAACATACGCAGAAAACATAATTTTCACGGATCATTGAAGAATTCGGAAGGATTAAACTATGATCGTGCTATTAGAACTTAGTTTGGAGCCAAAAACTACCTGTTACACAAAAGCTATTTGTATTCCTACACACAATATATTTACCTCAAAATACAGGTGAATAGCGAGCGAAGAATAATGAAACTGAGAACAAACATTGGACGGCATAATGGAAACTAAGTGAAATCAGCAAAAGATTATAGCAAAGTTACTCTTGTTTAAAAGCAGCATTATTGGCTGCCCTTCAGATTACAGAGTTCCACCATCTTAACCAAAAAAAAAGACACTAAACAATTAAGGGCAAATAACTGGAAATTGGTTGAAGAAATTGTCAAGAAAGAGCAGCACTTCTTGAGGTCATCTTTCGAATTAATCCGAAAATAGAAGTGCAGAGAAAAAAGTAATCTGAGCTATCGGCATCATCTCATCATTTATATCTGTTCTTTCTCTAGGTCTCACCACTTTCTAGAAGAAGAGAATTAGAAGCATTTCCTGTGTACGATTGATGGACCAGATTCATCGTACTCTGCCTTCGCAATCCACATCTGCCATTGACATGATTCCATCAATATATATTAACAAATAACGAGGGCTAAAACAAAGAAGTTTTGAGGCAGAGTATACAAGCACTGTTCATGTAATTGAAACTGGGATGCAAAATCAATAGAAACATGATTCTCAGTTTATGATAGGAAGTGAGAAGCATGTTTTTAAGTAGGAAAGCATGGATGCCTACCGATAATGAAAAACCTGGAAGTTACTTATTATCTAATACCCTAATGTAAGAGAACCAGGCAACCAAACGACATGATCAAAGACAAACTCATAAAAGTGAATCATCCCTTTTGCAGATAATACATGATAGCGCTACTGTAATAAATGCTGCCTAGTATACATATGATTATAATTAAAAGGAAGTTCAAAAAAAATTCTGTAGTACAAGTGCCATTTTCTAATTGTTTACTCTGACTTTCGAGAATCTTGAGAAGAAAGGCAAATGTTTTTGCACTAGAAACTAGAAATTGATAGACATTTATCAACCGAGTGAAAAACATTTGCCACCCTCATATTACCTTCTGAGGCAATGTTCAGAGATTAAATGTGTATTGAATAACCAAAGTGGTTCACGAACAATTCAATAATTGTCTAGGTAGTTCAAAAAATATTCATATACCGCATTATCAGCACATAGGGCAGCTGATAAAATTATAGTTACCATGGCAAAGAGGTCTAGAAGTAGACCTGGGAACTTGGTTGGAAGCAATTGATAAGGATATGATATTAACAGAGGAGATGACCCAAAATAGAACTGAATGGAAGAATAGGATTCATGTAAGGGTAATGACGAGTTATTTGTTCATATGTGTGAATGCATGGGCAAGTGTAAGTGTCTAATGGGATGCACAGTAAACTGAAAACTCTTAAAGCAAATTTACCTGCTGGAACGTGCTGAGGGATGCCAAGATCGAGCCTCCAATCCACACACTGTACTTCCTCTCAGGGGGAGCAACCACCTTAATCTTCATGCTGCTCGGTGCCAGTGCAGTTATCTCCTTGCTCATCCTATCAGCAATACCAGGGAACATAGTAGACCCACCACTCAGAACAATGTTTCCATATAAATCCTTCCTGATATCCACATCACACTTCATGATGGAATTGTAAGTTGTCTCATGAATACCAGCAGCCTCCATGCCTATCATCGATGGTTGGAAGAGAACCTCCGGACAACGGAATCTTTCAGCACCAATGGTGATCACTTGTCCATCAGGTAGCTCATAGCTCTTTTCAACAGATGAGCTTGTCTTTGAAGTCTCCATTTCCTGCTCATAGTCAAGAGCAATGTATGATAACTTCTCCTTCATATCTCTGACGATTTCTCGCTCAGCAGTAGTTGTGAAAGAGTAGCCACGCTCAGTCAGGATCTTCATGAGAGCATCTGTCAGGTCACGGCCAGCCAAATCTAGACGGAGGATTGCATGAGGTAGTGCATACCCCTCGTAAATAGGAACTGTGTGGCTGACACCATCACCAGAGTCCAGTACAATACCTATAGGCAAAACCTAAATAAGACTGCATAATATTAACCAATTACAGCCTGAAATGTACAAGATTGTCCATCCTTTGGCTATACAGCAAATGAGGTATTATTTTGCCACTAATTAGTAATTGTTCCAAATGAAATTATTAATCGAGGTTTTGGGCTTTTAGTTTCTTAACAAGTTAAACTCTGCAGATATTTTACAAAATCAATGATTAGGTGATGCTCAACAAATATACTGGTTAACTTTCACAATTGATTAAAATGGTTAGAGATTTAGAAAAGGGTGACAGATTAGTCTTCTATTTCCTATACACCAAAAAAAAAAGTTCATTCAACTGTTAAGTTATAACGAGTCTATCTTTGTGTAAAAGAAAATGTGGCCTAACACATATAAACAGAACAGTTCTGAGTTTCATTAAAATACCTATAGAGCCCCTCTTTTAGCTAAAAGATCAAATTAGAGTGTAACTCAACTACATTATTGAAGTCACATAACCATATGACCGATTATGCCTTTCAGAAAATAATAATATGACTGATCTGACCAGACATTAATGATACCGAGCAAGAACATACAACTCATTGTACTGGGATGCTTCAGGCCACCAAAGTCCGAAGGGAAAAATAGATATATTAATTAGATCAAAACATGCGACCAATATTGACCATGTACTTTACTAAACTGATACAGGTGGTACATACCTTGAGGCTATACACTCATGGTCTAATGTAAGTTCACAAAGGGAAATGAATGAGATGGAAAAAGAAAATTGACGATCAGCTGTTTAGTACCCATGAAAATCGGCATCATGAGAAATTTTCGATATGGGAGAACTGTGGCAAGGATTTTTCTTCTTCCAACATTGGTAAAGAATTATTGAGTGGACACAATAGTGCTCAGAAATTAGTCCTCTACATCCTAATCTTCTTGTGTGAGCAAGGACCCTTCCAACGTGAAAAAAGGAACCATTTGTGTATTTAGATAAAAAGTATAGATACTCTTATTTTTGTTTAATTGGAAGGATTATTTTGTCATTATCCCTGTAGAAAATGAGGAACCCATATAGTGCAAATGTTCAAGCAGTTAACAACTGATAATATAACCCTTTCCTTGAATATTAGCAAATAGTTTGTCAATATTTCTATAAGTACGATGATCAGAAGTTAACAAAAATATATAATTCCACATAAAACTAGCCAACACTAAAGTAACAAGTAAAAGGGCTGATAGTGCACACTCCGTGGTATACCTGTCAAAATATATGTGGGTAAATATAATATAATAGCTGAACTAGAATAGATTATCAGTCAACAACAATATGTAGGAAGTTAAAAAATATGAATATCAGTAACTTATATTGATCAGGTAATGGCATCTTTCTTACCAGTAGTACGACCACTAGCATAAAGAGAGAGAACAGCCTGGATAGCGACATACATAGCAGGAGCATTGAAGGTCTCGAACATGATTTGGGTCATCTTTTCACGATTAGCTTTGGGATTGAGAGGTGCTTCAGTTAGAAGAACAGGGTGTTCTTCCGGGGCAACACGAAGCTCATTGTAAAATGTATGATGCCAGATCTTTTCCATATCATCCCAGTTGTTCACAATACCATGCTCAATCGGGTACTTCAGAGTTAAAATACCCCTCTTTGACTGAGCCTCATCACCGACATATGCATCTTTTTGGCCCATGCCAACCATCACACCAGTGTGACGTGGACGACCAACAATGCTTGGGAAAACAGCCCTTGGAGCATCATCTCCAGCAAATCCTGCCTGGTTAAAGCAAAAGTGGATAGAAAAGATTTAATTAACATAGTAACTACTAAGGATTTAAGCTAAAAGCAACACAATGTACAGTTTTCAATGACTTTCTGCCATTTAATAAGCAAATAGAAAAAAATGGATCACAGAATCATTGTGAAAAAATTAGTCCATTCATACCTTAACCATTCCGGTCCCATTGTCACAAACAAGAGGCTGGATATCCTCAGCATCTGCCATTTTCTAGATCTGATAAGACATGTCTAAAACTCAGATAGTGTCCTCAATAAATTGAGAATCAATTAATAACTATAACACTGGGGCCAAAATAATACTTGTGCATATAACAAACCCTTTCCTAAGTTCAAACTTCAAAATGCTCAGTCACAGATTATTAAATGAACTAGCCAAACAACAATTCAATAATGTAGCAACAAGGGCAGGTTTAACCACTGAAAATAAGTAAATGTACCACCGCCCAGCCATAGATGATATAACAGTGAAACAAATATGGGAAAATAAACAATCTCCTTAAGAGGTACAATCATTTTAAGATTTAGAAAAAAAAAGCACATTATAATTCAATGTGCTGCAAAACTATTACTTATTAGTCTTCACAAATTTATAATTTTTTAAGGAAAATTACACATTTATTTTCAGTTAATTCATTACAAGCGTACAATCCAGAACAAATGCAAGATACAATATGATCCCAGCAAATTTTACACCTATATCCTCCGTTACCCTGGAGGCTGGCAACAAAGAACTGCAGGAAAATAGACAAGCAAATCCCGTTAACTATTCTTGTTTGACATCTATTAAATTGTGACAATTTCTGATTCACCTCTAACCTCGAACCGGGTATCCTCATCGACAATTCATAAACAGAAAACTATATATATACATGCATGTGTATAAAGAAGTATTTATCTATAATCTATAATCTAATTCTATATTTTATATCTATATATACATATATATAGAAAGGGAAACACTTTCAGAAATGACAATTTTCTCATGTCTTTCATTATTTGTCTGACAGGGAAAGAAAGGTCAATTGTAGTTTAACAACAATTCCAAAAAAGTCAAGCAATGCTCACCAAAAAAGGACTTATATATGATTCTTTTCTGTATAAAATTTCTTTTTTTGAAAAGCTTTCTTTTTAAAATTTCTACAAGCAGAACTATTAAAAAAACATTTAAAACAAACCAAAAGCCAGATATTAAACCAAAAGTCATCGGCACAAAAACAGTTAGAACTGAGATGTCTATCCTATACATCTAGAATAGTCATTATGGACCTCAGCCACTGGCAACTCCTGTCAAACTTGAAACCATACAAAAGATTGAAGGGAATAGACTGAAAATCACTTTCCCAACTTCTACTTATTTTATCACAAGTGCTCTGAAATCTTAAAAAAGTTCAGCAGCAGGCTTTATGACTTACTAAAATTTTATCTTAGTTTGGTAGTATTAACCATATCATTTCTTAGTCTTGCTCAGTCTTCTGTAATGAATTTGGTTGCTTTAAGATGTTTTCATTAAGGGCTAACCTTGACAAAATATGACAGTTTGTCCCATATCATCCAAATGTTCTCTTCAAAATTCTTAGGCTAGTTTCCATATAAATCATATAATTACCCTGTTGAAATTCACTTTATACAGGAGATGTATCCCTCGCCTCTGCATACAACCTTTAAAACATAATACCTTTTTCCTCACAACCTTCACATCCGAAGCTTGGACGCAAATTATTATTAACCTTGTAGGTTTCTTGTTTTACATGTATACTTAATAATGGAGCTAAATGAGGAAGTAGCATTATAACCATAGTGATGTTTATTTCAGGACTAGTTAGTATTGCCAGAAAATAGTAGCACTTAATGAAAATTTTATAGTTTTGTTTCCCTTATCCTAAACTACTACGGTTCCCAATATTGCATCCCCTTTCAAATGTTCATGCTAGGAAGCCACACAATAGATAGTAAATTTTCATAAATTTATCTCTCTTCTTGAGTCTTAACCATACCACCTTCAAATTTAGTATTTACTGCTGCCTCTTGTCTGAATTGCTTTTATGTTCTAGGATCCAAACATACCATGACTGCTTTTTTCAAGAAGTGCCTGTCTTCTGGTTCAATAGTAACCATTCAATAACTGATAGGCAGTTCACTGAGCTACTAGCTGTACTTGTCATTTGCAAAAGGTTATCAATAGCGGATAGCGTCATGTGGCGGTGAGGTACTGTTAGGCTATTTGCGCCTTTAGCGGCAAAATAGCAACAAATAGCACATAGTTAGGTACTGTTAGGCTATTTGCGCCTTTAGCGGCAAAATAGCAGCAAATAGCACATAGTTAAATAACGGTCAAATTTAAATATATTTAAATATTCTAAAAAATAAGAAAAATTATAGAAAAATCTAAAAATTCTACAAATACATATTTGATGATTAATAGAGATTCTAAGCATGAAATAGATGTGTAATAATTGCATAATATTAACAAAGTACTATAAAGAATAAAAAAGCACCGGAAATGGTGGAGGTGGTGGAGGGAGCATGGGAGAAGGGGAGGAAGCACCAGCAGCTAGGGTTTTTTCTTTCGTGGTTGTGAATCAAAGATGAGAGAGAGAGAGAGAGATCTAAAAGGGTTTTAATGATAAAACGGGTCGGGTTTCAATATGATCGGGTAGAATATAAAAGCTATCCACCAAAGAAAAGCCGTTTCCAGCGGTTAAAAGCGCTATTCCGCTCTTTTAACCGCTAAAACATGCTATGGCACGCAATCATGAGCACATAGCAGTTTTGGTTGCTATTTGCTTTCGCTGATAGCATAGAGGTAGTCATCGCTAACGCTATGAAAACTGCTACAGTGCCGCTATGCACCGCTATTTATAACAGTGCATTTGCACCATAATTTTCATTCCGCTCTTAAAGAATTGTGTCACATAAGTAATTAACTTATTAAGATTTTTCCCTTTCGCATCATTTATGGCAGTGTACTGAATTTAGATGACTACTTGTAGGCCATGTATCCTCAATATGGTCCTATAACTATAAGTAATAAGTATATCTTATATAAGTAGCTTAGTTAATTACAAGCATCTATATTTGGTACATTGTCCAAGACCCAGATGTACCTTGTAAATCGTTATATCACTATAGATTATATGCTTATGACATTTATAAGTTTCAAAACTAAAACATTATCAACCTATATAAAGGCGGTTTCACTTCATAAAAGTGTACAACGCTTTGCCTCTCTAAAATTAATTTTGTACAATTGTTTTGGTATTAACCATATCCATTGATATATAATCAATGCAAAAAACAGCTAACACTGAACAAAAAGATAAATACACAGAAAATTGCTAATGCCAAAATGTCAAAGGAACAATATATTGCTGTTATCATACATTAAAGATATAAAATTTAACAGATATGAAGCAAACATCTCCATTCACTCTTCCACCAAAACCTTAACTAATTGCATTCAATAAGATTGCAGCTGAAAGCAATCTCGAATCAGAGAATGGCGATGGAATCAAAAGGAAAAAGATCGGATCTTTTTACCGTTAAAAAAGAGGAGGGACTGAAACCCTAGAGCTGGAGGAACTTTTTTTTTTCGAAATTGGGTGGGTTTCAATTTGTTTGTAGTATTAACGAGGGCGTTGAAAGTGAGGGGAGAAATTTGTGGATGCGCAATTCCTCAGGCGACGAATTTAGAAATGGGCGCCCGCTTCTCTCGAGAACCCATGAGGAGTTGTTTGCCCGCCTATTTTCAGGATCTGGATACGGATCCGACCCGTTATATGGAGCAAATCCATACCCGAATGGGATGTTGGTGAGCTGCCCGTCAGGCGTCAGGTATTTGGATCCTCTCCTCAGCCAAAAACTACTATTTTAAAAATGAACCGTTAATTATTCAATGGATATCGATGAACAACTGTGATCATTCAAAAATAATATTTATATCACATCTTTGTGAATCGGACTTGTTTCTATTTTTTTTACTTAATAAAATAAATCATAACTTTTCTTAAATCAATCTGCAGTTATAAACATGAGGGGTGTTAGGGACACACCCTTGGACACACCACCAACCACACTCCCCCTCTATCTACAGTGCAGGGGCCCCACATGTGATTTTTTTAAAAAAATCACATGTGGGGCCCCTGCACTGTAGATAGAGGGGGAGTGTGGTTGGTGGTGTGTCCAAGGGTGTGCCCCTATCATTTCTTTATAAACATAGCAACGATCACTCTATTATTTTTTAGTAGTGGAGAGTATTCAAATCTAATGACTTGCACGAAAGTATCTACGAAGTAGATGAAGTAAGAGAAGTAGAGGTTATTGTAGGCGTCTAAAAATGCCTATGGGTGCCCGCACACAGCTCAAGACAAAGAGAATGCGATGAACGTCGTTATCCGAGTCAAAGAGGATTATCCGACGCCGACGAGCGCATGAAGCGAATCGGCAAACTGTTGATGACACGACAACGAACCACCATAATGGAAAACGCCAAGTGGACCGCACGCGTTAATCAACTCAAAGCGTACAAACGCGCCCAACAGTCAGTTAACACGCAGGACCGCACGCGTTAATCAACTCAAAGCGTACAAACGCGCCCAACAGTCAGTTAACACGCACGCATCATTCAGCTCGTGCATGTCAATCAGTGCGCGCGTCAATCAGTTCACGATGGCGTCAATCAACGTACATTAATCAACTCGCGTGGAGCATACAAGTCAACACGACGGATGAGTAAACAAAACGGGAGAAACTACAAGTCCCGGAAGATCGGAAAAGTAGTAAAACACAAGAAATCAGCGAAACAAAAAATCTCAGCGCGCCGCGCGGGACGGACCAAACCGACCCGCGCCGGCGCGGGTCGGAATGATCCGACCCGCGCAAGCGCGGGTCAGACTTGTCCTGCGCGCGCTGTTTCGACCGGGTTCGGTTTTTGATGGTTTTTCTCGAGATTTGTTGGTTCCTGAGCATCCAAACTGACTTGATATCATCTACAAACGTGGTTAGGCTGTTATTGACTAAAGATAAGGCCAAATCACTTGTTCTCATCCAAATAACCGCTTCCGAAGTCCTATAAATACAAGCATAGGGCCTCCTTTCAGCAGGGGCGATTGATTATCAAGACGAGGAGGTGCTGCCGGATTGTGGAGTCAAAGGAGCACGAATTTCAGCGAGGGTTGACAGATCTTGGCGAGTTCTTCGGCATAAAGAAGGAGAGTTCGAGAGATTAGAAGGCCCGTTCCCGTCCGGGGTTTTCCCCCTGTGAGATTAGGCTTTCGCGTCTTATATCTCGAGAAGCAGCCCTGAATTCGCTTGTCGATCTCAGCGCTTCAAATCAAATACTTCCTCAGCGAAGCAAAGCTTCTGCCAATTTTTCATCAAACCGCGCATCAGATCAAGGTGGTCCACGGATAAACCCGGCATAGGCCAAAGATCCCGCAAGCAGAAGACGATAAACGATGTCTCTGCGTTCATGTTTTGTACGAGAGCTTGTAACCTTTTGACTTTTATTGTGTTAAAAGATCTTATAAAAAGATTATCTTTTTGTTTTCTTGTACTCGACCGAAGTTGTTACATGAATACCTCCAATGAATACATCAATTTTCGACGGAAACAATTGCGACCACGGTGGGATGCAACCAGCTTCGCTGCCGGGCTGTCGTCGGGTTCGCAACCTCGATCTGATCCCGGTTGAAAAGTGCGTCGAATACGAGTTCGGACCAACTGAGTTCGATGATATCTGTCGTCCTCTCCTCCAAATCTCCGCCTCTCGCAACGAAGGAAGATCAACGCCCCCGTTGTTGCGGTAGCTGAACTCTTGCAACGCCCTTCCGGCCTCCAATAGTCCGGATCTGCAGGATCGCCACCCTCCTCAATCAAGGAGTTAGCTACAGGAAGGCGCGCTTCATTTATCGAAGAGAACTCGTCAAAGGCAGCGCAACGCTGTGGTGCGCCAAATCGCTAGAGCCTTGAGTCAATTGACCGTGATCCGTTACGAGCGGACTCTGAAAATTTAGGCAACGGCCCAAGCACCCAAACAGCGGAAAATGTCCTCCCTCCAAGCCAATAGCAAATGAATGGATCCAAATTCAAAAAGATCCGGCCTAACTCTTGGAGGAGCAAATTCCAAAAGCGCTGCCGCGCTGCGCGCACGGCAATTCTTTGTGCAAAAAGCCACAAAAAGCTGCAGAAGAAGACATAGCTAAGAAACAACCAAGGTACTGCCATCAAACAATTGGAAGGCCAAAATCCAAACGGCCAGCCAAAAAGATCGCGACCGAAGAATCGGACCGTCGCCGTCACTTGAATGCCGACCCGTCGGGCGCGGGTCACTTGGATCCGACCTTTCAAATCGCAGGTCACTTGGATCCGACCTTCCAAATCGCAGGTCACTTGGATCCGACCTTCCACTTTGCAGGTCACTTGGATCCGACCTTTCAAATCGCAGGTCACTTGGATCCGACCTTCCACTTTGCAGGTCACTTGGATCCGACCTTTCAAATCGCAGGTCACTTGGATCCGACCTTCCACTTTGCAGGTCACTTGGATCCGACCTTTCAAATCGCAGGTCACTTGGATCCGACCTTCCACTTCGCAGGTCACTTGGATTCGACCTTCCACTTTGCAGGTCACTTGGATCCGACCTTTCAAATCGCAGGTCACTTGGATCCGACCCTCCACTTTGCGGGTCACTTGGATCCGACCCTCCACTTCGCGGGTCACTTGGATCCGACCTTCCAAATCGCGGGTCACTTGAATCCGACCCTCCAACCCGTCGGTCACTTAAATCTGACCCGCGCCAGAGTCAAGGCAGAAGATGTTCTGCACCTGTTTCGTCGATCCCTATGAGTTCCGCACCTCCGAGCCTGGGTCCTTTGCACGAGGATCGAGGCAAAGTTTTGATCGAAGGACACTTGGGTCCGATGATTGAACCCCGAGCGATTCGTCGAGCTGTGGGTCGCACACGCCCTCGTAACAATTTCAAACCTTCTCATAAAGGGAAAACTCCAATTTCTACCCGCCTGGGGGTGTTTATCCAAAACCAAGAGCCTGTTGAGATCCTGCGCGCCCAAAAGTGTAATTCTAAACACGTGACTCTTAAGAATGCTAATAAAGCGGCAAATCCCCTGAAAGAAACGTATTCATCTGACGATGACAACGTTATGCCAGGGGAGTCATTTCAACACACGATAGGTTGCTCCGGTCATCTGATCGATGAGTTGTACTATCGGGCTGGGGGTATGAACGAGTCTCGGAAGAGATATACCCGAGAAACACAATCTCATTGCCAGTGCGTCGAACTTATCAGGGCAGTATTATCAGCGTGTAGCTGCCCCAAGACCGCTCCGCAGAGGGTCTCGGTATTTGAGAGGATCTCCAACGGAAAGGATAAGTCTAATCTAAAGCGCCTCCGTAAGAAACGGTCGGTCGTTCAAGGTGACGAACCCCCAAAGGTTACCATCAATATGGTTAATAAGGGAAAATCAATTCGACCTTCTAGCTCTGACCCGCTTGTATCGCATCGTCTAACCCGGTTGCGATCAGGGACCACTAGACGCATGGACTACCAAAGAATGCAGAGAGGGTTATCCTCGGATGATGAAGTATCGGATGCTAACTTTGCAGTCGCTTCTGACAATACGGTATCTAGCCCAGGGCAATCCCGCGAGGTGTTTATGATTAACACCGAGGAAGCAACTAAAATGGTTGAGGATGCTCTAACCAAGCAGAAAGAGGCATTCAAGATTGAAATGGAAATGACTATGCGGCGGATGAGGGAAGAACATGACCAACAAATCCGAGCTTTGTCAAATCAAATTGGCGAATCCAGCCGTCGCAACACTGCTTACCAAGCAGGTAGCGATTCAGATGTAGATGAACGTCTCAATCCTGATAACCCTCCCGTTGACCAGAACGCTGGGGGTGACCCTACTAAAAACAACGATGCCGGGGGTGGCCCCGTTATTCCTCTTAAGAATCGTCCAAAACTCGACACGAGTGAGGACGAGAAAATAAAAGATCTCGAGAGTAAAATCAACGCTCTAATGTCTGATCGAGAGGTAAAGAGGACTGGGATACCATGTCCGTATCCAAGGGAATGAGAATCAATTCCATACCCAGCGAAATTCAACTTGATCAATTTTACGCCGTTTGACGGGAAGGGTTCACCCACTCAACATCTGATCTACTTCAAGTCCCACTAGGGTATGATCTCCGGCAATAAAGCCTTGATGGTTCGGTCATTCGTTGGCACCCTTCGCGGGCTGGCCTTGGATTGGTACCGCCGTCTCAAGCCCGGAAGTATTAACAACTGGGACGATATGGAGAACTCATTCCTCGGTAACTTCTTTGAGGACGACGACGAGGTATCCATCAGGACACTTTTCGATGAGAAACAAGAAGATGACGAGACAGTCGACGACTTCATCAAACGCTTCCGGAATAAAGCAATGAACTGCCGAGATCCGATCACGGAGGACTTCATCCTTCAGACATGTCATAACAACCTATCTATTGAGATATTGGAAGTTATGGGAGTCGCACCGTCTAACACTTGGAAAGACTTGAAGGTCCGCGGTGAACAAGCCGAACGCTTCCTCCGAAGGAAGAAGGCCGAGAGGAGCCAACCGACGGCCAATCCTCCGAACTCGAACTTTGCCTCCCGTGGTAAGGGCAAGGCACCTGCAGCTGCTGTTGGTACTAATCAAACGTCACAACAGCAATCCCGAAGGCAGCGAAAGACTTCGGACCTGAGACTCCAAAAAGAGTATTCCTTCAAGGACGAGAACGTTCCAGCCATCT